AATAATGAATACAAAAGTTTTGGTACTAATCCAAATGATATTTCTCCAAAGATTGGTGATAATATGAAGAACAAAGATGACTTCAATAAAGATAACAAGATAGAGCAAGTGAATGAGATTGCTAATTCAAGAAACGATGAAAGTTTGTTGAAGAAAACAAAGTGATTATTATAATTATATAGGAATGGTAAGATACATTGTCTATTTTAAATAATTGTTATTCTTTCTGTTCCAATTACATTCCCTAATTCTTTGTTAGGCAAGATGCTTAACATTACAATAATGACTTCTCTATCTAGTAGACTAATATCTAAAAAAAGAATAATTATTTACAAATTTTGTGCTTAGCTTCATTCTATTGCCCGTTCACTAGTTCCTTTAATTACATACATTCAATCATTCATAGTTTATTAGAGTTAGATTGTTATTCTTCTTGTTTTCTGCTTTTATATTAAAGAAATATGTGATTATAATCGACTATGTATTACGCCTCTCTAGGAAGACATTCAATGTATCGGGTTGATAGTGAAATCTTAGCTTATACAGTTATATATACTCCGTATCTTAACTGAATCGATCATATTCTATGAGTTGCTAAAGGTGTGATATGATTTTATTTGAAAATTATGCATCTTAAATAAGAAGTAGAAAAATGATTATACAATGGTAGGAGAGATCAAGTATATTTATAGTTTTTTTTGTTGCACCATGATGGATTTCACATTTGTCAATGCATTACTTTAGCTATTAATATGTTAAAGGACCAACTCAACAATATCTTCAATTATACTTTTGTAAAAATTAAAAAAAAATTATATTTTAAAAGATGATTTTAAGACGAATCTAACTAGTTTCCACATGACTATATTTTTCATAATGGATAAATTACAAATGATGGTCAAAGAAGATTAAGTGAATAGTGTAAAAATCCTAATGGTGCAATAAAATAAAAACAGAGGAAGTATATAGTTTATTTTAGAGACTATTAAATTCTAAGAAAATACACATTATATATATCATCAAAAGTATATATATAAAAAAATATAATCTTTGATTGATAAGATACCAAAAATAAAAATAAAACACTAAAATATATCGTCTTGATCAATGAAAGATTGAAATCAACAATTGTAGGTGGAACTGTGAATGTTTAATTTATGTAGTTCCAAGAATATAAGCCTGGAGCACAAATAATGCAAATAGAAAAAACAATTATTACATCACTTAAAGGATGCCCAGAACAAAGGTTATTTTGTTTATAAATCAAAGAGTAAAATTGGCATATGTTAGGACGACAAACGCTGATTATTACAAGTAGTGTTTTTACCCCAAAACAGTTAAGATAAACAAGTAACGTTATCATGTTGAGTAACTTGAATTTTCTTATAAGAGTATCACTTATGTAAGCCCCATCATAACACTACAATTGTTGGTTACTTTTGACAATGTCGTATTACATACATAGTACAGAGTAATAAGAAACAACAATTACTATAATAATGAACCTACACTAAAATTAAGTTAAGGTAATGAGAATCGACCCCGTAACTATGCAATCGAGACAAAAATGTTGTCATTGAGCTTCTAGAATTATGTAAAATAATCAATGTAATTATATTAAGCCTCTGCATGCTAATGTGTTCTATTGACTATATAATTTAATTTTGATAACTAAATAGATATAGAATTCCATAACTTTACTGATTCATGATTACTTTAATTTGACAATTTTTGATGAGTAAAACTATAATTAGACATACTTATATTTTTAAATATAGGCTTATCTAATTAGCTTGATGAACATTATTCTCACCATTAAAAATAGCTTGAAAATAGACATATACACACAATAATGACCATGCAAAATTGTTGGAAAAAAAAACTATAATTAGAGTATATAATTTATTCGGGTCATCAACAAAAGGCTATATAATTTTTTTTATAAAGACTTATAATGCATGCTCTTATTTTACTTCATGAATAAAAACCGTTTTTAACCTAAGAGGATAATAATTCAATAATTACATATATTCATCTTTGAAAATTGAATTACAACATTTTAAATTTCATTTCAATTTCAAAGATGAATCTCAAGGCATCTAATATTATCCTCTTAATCTCAATTATTTTTTTCTCAACAACTACCTCAATATATGCCTTTAACATAACTTATTTCCTAGATCAACATCCACAATTTAGCACCTTCAATAACCTCCTAACCAAAACCGGTGTGGCGGCCGGAATCAACAAGCAAGGCACGGTCACCGTCCTCGTTGTTGACAACTCGGCCGTGGGACCCCTCACAAGCGTACCACAAACAACCCTAGGGTACATACTTGCTACCCACGTTATCCTTGACTATTATGATAGCATAAAATTAGGTAAATTGGATGGCAAGTCAGTCAAAGCCACCAACCTCTTCCAAGAGACAGGGAAAACCAACGGAGGGCAAGGACTCCTAAACATCTCCAAGTCCGGCGGGGATATCTTCTTCGGCTCAACGGCGAAGGGGGCCCCACAAGACTCCAAGATGGTGAAAGTGTTAGCTTCTCAACCTTTCCACATTTCCGTGATTCAAATTAGTAAACCTATTGTTACTCCTGGCCTTGAACAAGGACCTCCCACCGCGCCATCTAGCAGCCCTACAGCCTCCCCTCCTACTCCTACGGCCGCTCCACCACCTAAGTCGGTGGAGGCCCCCGCCCCTGGTCCCTCTGGTGATGATGATGATGGTTGTTCTGCAGATAGTCCAAGGGGTGATAGTGAAGGCCCTTCTCCGGCTCCGGCTAGTGGGCCGGCCCCAGGACCGGCCCCACTAGCGGACGAAGCTGACAAGGAGGCGCCTGCTAAGTCGGTCCCACATAAGAATGGTGGTGCAAGGTTGAGTGTTGCTGGGGGTGTGGTTACTTGTGTTATGGGTTTGGTAGCATTGGCACATAATTACCTATAACTTAACTAGCAAGTTAATTGACATTATCACATTAAAGTTTATTTGAATGTTATTGCATGTGCTTTGATTTTGCATATATTGGGGTTTTATGTCCAAAAGAGTAATGGGGTAAGGAAAATGAAAGATGTATAGAAGAGTATTCAATTCTTTGGTAAATGTCATTGCATGTACGTTGTTAGGATATCTTGGTGAATTATAATTTTAGTTCACTTTTTGTGCATATACGCGTCAAGACACTTATATTGATTGCTAGTAAAAAAAAATTAAAAAAAAATTAAATATTTCTATATTTTGAACATATTAGAAAAGTGGTGGAATGATATAAATTAAGTATAATTGAAATTTAACAATTAACACTCATTATATTATATATACTGATGATTTCGCATGATTTTGTCAATATTGTCATGTATTTTTTTTAGCTTAATACTCATAACAAATTACTTCAAAAATGAATATTCTATGTACTAGTATATATATATAAACAATAAAGTAAAAGGTTAATACGAAGTACTACATAATATGGAGTATTTTTAAAAAAAAAGTAAGATAGATGAAGGAGATTAGGTACGTCTTCTCATAAGACCATAACCTAAACTACGAGTAAAAAATAAGAAAATTTACTATCTAAAAATTAAATAGATCTATATTTTGATGAGTTGGAGTAGAATGAATAGCCGAGAGAGTCAACATATTTTGCTGCCCGATTTCCTTCCCGATAGATGTGTCTTGAAAGCTCCAATCCAAGAATTTAATGATACATATATAAAAAATGAGACCGCTGGAAATTTTTATTGCAACATGTTCCACTCTGTCGAACAAGTAATTCATTGAATATATCTTGGTGCCTCAATTGGAGATTTGTGCATGCATGATGTTATCTTAAATTGTGAATTTTCCAAAAAAAAAAAAAAAAAAAAAAAAAATTGTGAATTTGTGATATTAGTGCTACAAAATTTTACTTATTACAGTAGAATCATTTTATTTTCTCTCAGTTTCTAAGAAACCCCTCTTTTTGGAGATTGTACAAGAATTACTTGCCAGGATACAATGCCTAGAAAACTTGAGTTATTAGTCTTATTAATCTTAGGGTAAATCTTTGATATATTTCTAAACTTGGAATAATCGCGCTTTAAATTGTATTCACCTAAGGTTTGCTGTTTTAAATCTTCGATCTCTAATTGTTACTGCAAGTTTATCTTGTTTTTAAGTAACAAGTACTCGTATTAGTTAATATTCTGATTCGTATGGTTTAGTTTATTGATTGTGGGGTGACAGCAGCTTAGTTTGATCATAACTGCTGAATTTGTAGTGTTTATTCAGTAATTCGTATCATCTCAAGTTAAATGCAGCCTCTCTAATAATTATGTTCGATTTCTTTGAAATAACTCATCATTAATATGAAGTCTGATTCAAAATCCTGTAATATGCTATCTATGCTAATGCATGAAGCAGAGAAAGCTACTACAGAGTATTTTGTTGCATTAGATCTTCATTGAGACTCCGATCATCCAAACAGCTGTTCCATTTCACCAGTTGTAACTCTAATTGGACACCTTTCCATACCATACAACTACGTTTCTTTACAGATTTGGAGCAGCTTTAGGAATGCACTTAAACTCAACAAATTAAGTAGCACATATGATTAGCAGGACAACTTATATTAGCAAAGCCACATTACTATCATCTAATAGCTTTGAATGGTATATTAGCATTAACTTTCAACTCCAAAATGTATACACAAAGTCCTAATATAAGAGTACATATGAATAGCAGGACAACTTATAATTTCAGCAGGAGTAGAAGATTCATATGAATAAAACAACAAACCTGATTACGAATAAATAAATTAATTAATTAAATTCACTTATCTTCAATTCTCATGAGAGTTGTAAACCTCATGGGAAGAAATGGTACCTGCTTATCCATATTAAGCCATTAACGAGTGAGAAACAAGCACGGATAAGACGTGCTCAGAACAAGATATATGCAGGATCAAAATCACATAAAAATCCCACACATCAAAATGAAACCACAAGTAGAGCCTGAGTAGAGAAAACCAGCTAGCTACAATAATTTCCATAGCAGAAATGTGATGATCAGAATCATCAGATAAGTTGAGTTTAAGCTCTCATCAAAGTGACTAATCAGTGATCACGCTAGCACCTGTGTACAGTTTTGAAATGAGATATAAGTTCACCAGGAGTACTAACCCTGTTACATCAATTGTAATATCTAGGTTTACGAAATACTACTAGAATGATCTAGTTTAAGCAATATGGTTCACTGCTGACATTTTAGCAAATGTTCTCAAATACCACAGAAGAATGAAGCTCTCTCAGCTTAGCACAGGTTCACACCAACCTTCAACCCTGAATCTTCTCGATGATGTCTGCGATGACTTCCTGCATGTCTAGATCCTTCATTGGTTGAAATGGCCTCTTCATATCCTGCAATTAATACATCCAGTAAACCAAACCATCAATCAAGTGTTGACAAGCAATATACAATAATGCATGCCTTCACTCAACGGCTCAAGAATAACAGTAAAACTTAGGACCAGCACGATGACATAGGAGTACTAATAAAGCAAGTAAGATTGAAATAACATTGCATGCACATGAAGCTTACCAGAAGACTGACGAATGTCTGTTCTTTCTCACCCTCCGCCCGAATCTCAAAACAACCTTTCCTTGGCTGAAACGAAAGAAAAAAGTCGATATTTCAGAGAGACTATTGAGTATAAGAATAGGAACTAACATGGCATTATCAGTTATTCCCACCCCTCTCATTTTAAAGCATGACATCAGTTCTCAAAGCAGGGGGCTAGTACAGCCTTAATTAATAGTCAAGCCTTTTAAGTTTCTAAGTTTTAAGCACTAAAGAAGGGAGGGGACAGGGGATATTAAAGTGGACATAAAGACAGAAGACACCATATTAAATTATAAATGAAAACTTTCATTTTATAAGCTCAGGGAATCAAAACAGCCAAGTTTATCAATATTGCCTCATTTGCTTTACATAATATGCAATTTTGCCTAAATCTGCGCCATTTAAAGGCATGTACTCTGATATAAGCATGATGTCAATATTTTAAAAGCATGCTCAGACCTATCACAACTCACTATCTAAGAACTTCTACACAATTGCATGGCATTTGTCATCCTTTTATCCCGTTCAAGGTTGTTGTAATGATATTGTGTACGAAGTAAGGTGTACACAATCAAAGGATGAACTTTCACAATGCAAAAATAGGGAAAACTGAACAAGATAAATTTTAAACTAACCTTCTTAGGGTTAACCACGATTCTGGTACCAGGTAAACCCTCGTTTAAGCCTGTTTGCGCTTCTTTAGCCCTGGTTTTGAATGATCCGCATTGCTTACTGCAACAGAAAAAAGGAGAAAAAATTGAGTAAAACTAAAGCAAACAAGTCCACATTTGTTATATTAGAGGCACCTCCATAAAACATAAGCACTGATTTCATCTCATATTAAAATGACTGGCAAAAGCCAAGAAAATGCACTTCAACAGTTGAACATCTGCATCAGAAGAAATATCTGTCATGCTAATAAGATTTAATAATCAGTATGAGCATGTGAAATTTAATGTATACCCTTGGACAAGCCTTGCAAGTTGTCTCACTATCCCTCCTAAATATTTCTGCTGAAGAAACGAAGGCATAAAGGCTACTGGGGCGAGTTAGCAAACTAACATTCTTGCTTAAAATAAAAGCAAAAATAACCACTGGCTAGTCAATTTGATATGAGTAACTGGGCACAGCTTTCAGCTTTTCAAAGTTCAAATGACAATAACGAAACAAATAAACAAGATGTAAATAGTCGATGAAGGCATACAACATCCCAGTCAGATGAAAGTTGAATTCACAGACCACCATGCAATCTAAGACTCGATCAGAGCACAAAGCAAACTTTTATCTTATGCAATCTTACAGAAAGTTCTTCAGAATTTGGGAACTATAAACGCAAATAGTAAATGATATCTAATGTGAACAAGCTTAAACGCAAGTATAATACAGTAAAATCAGACGTGTTTCAAATCTTTCAAGCAAAATTCTTTCCATAAGTTGTTTTTCTTAATGAAAATCAGCTCGTGCACAGGATCTCAAAGATTCTCTTCTAATGACTTAATGAGAATAGTTATCCCACATTCCCCCGTTGCCCTCATATAGCATACTTACATTTTATCACCACCAAAACATCTTGTTTACCTCGCCCCAACACATCTTTTCCAAATAATGTAAACCAAAAGCACAATTTCAGGAACATTCTCACTGCCCTAATGATGTAACTAGCAGAATGTGAGTCCACATTATCACAAAGCCCTTGATACAAATTCGTGCTTACTTGTCAAATGTTGAAACACAACTCCAAAATACATTGTAAATTGAATTTCGAGTGAAAGGTATCAAGCAAAAACCATATGCAAATTCAAGAAGTCGAGTGACACAAAATTCACCTAAATTCACCCATTTAGACAATCCCGAAAACACTACTCATTTACTATTTGTATCTTATATTAACACATTATTAAAACGTAAATTATGCACCAACATTCCAAATAGTCAAAAGAACACAGTGAAGAAGACACAACAAAAAATGTCAGATAATAATGGCTCAAAAAATAACAAAATGTAGCACACACGACACAATTCTCCACTTTCTTCAAAATTTCACCAATTATTTCACAATTAATATGATAATAATGACAAGAACTTCCATAATCAATTACTCCATCAAAAGAACTTCCATAATCAATTACTCCATCAAAAGAACTTCAATTATTAACCCAAACAAACGATGAGAGAGAAAATCTTTAAAACCCTAATTCAAACCCAAAAAATTCCAAAAAAAGTTTACTGAAAAACACAAACCCAGATATAATTATAACCCAGAAAATAAACACACACATTCAAAAAACAAAAAGAAACCCAGAAAATTCACCCACAGAAAACCCAGAACAATTTAAACCCATTTTCTTTCTTCCATTAACAAATCAACCCCTAAAACAAAAATCACCAAAAACCCAGAAAAATTTACAAAAAAGAGAGAAATATTAAAGAAGATATACCAATGCTCAATGACGATAGTAGTAGCAGCAGAACCAGACCCAGAAGCACCAGCATCACCATCATCAACAACAGGTTCTTCTTCCTCAGTATCCTCAGTCTCATCCTTCTTCTCCTCTTCAGCCGTCGTTTTGGGCGCTTCAGCCGTCGTTTTGGCCTTCTTCCCTTTCCTCTTGGAAGCCACCTGAGATGGTGGTGGTGGTGGGACCGCGTCAGCACGAGTCAAACTCCGAGTCACCCTTCTTTGCGACGGAACTTCGACGGTCGGTTTCACTTCTCCGGCGAGGTCGTCAACTTGACTTCTACGCTTCTTTGGTGGCATTTTGGAGAGAGAAAATGAAAGGGTTTTTTAGAGAGAGAAAATGGTGGGTTTTCTAGAGAGAGAAAATGGGTGAGAGAGAAAGTAATTGTTGTTGTTGTTGGTACTGTAATAAGTATGGAGAAGAGGGAGGAAGAAGAAGGAAATGTAAGATAACTGACAATTTCACAGCTTCTTTTGGGTTGTCATATTTTTATTTTTATTTTAATAAATAAATTAAATTAAATTAAATTAATAAAAAAAATAAAGGGAAATGAAAGGGTATATTATTTTCCCGCGTTTTTGGACGGTCAAGATTTCATCTTGAGCTCATTTTTCTATGTTTTTGTGTATTAAAGAGTGAAATACTGAAATTTGCTTTTCCAAGTGTGAGAATAATAAATATTTTTAAAATAAAAAATAATAAATATTTTTTTAAAATAAATGACAGTATAATTGGGTATTTAGGATAGACTTTGGATAGAATTTCTTTATTGATGAAGGATTATGTATCAAAAAAGATGTATAAGTATCTAATATTACCATAATCTGAAAGATATTGTCTGATTGTAATCGTCATAGAGGATATTTTACAAAAATAAAACATTATTGTAGAGGATTCCTTGAAAAAAAAAATATATTGTAGAGGATCCCTTAAAAATGATAAAAACTTACGGAGTAATTATAAAGGATACCATACATGAGTTTTATGTTGAAGGCATACAAATCTATTTAATAAAAAATTTGTGATAAATAGTGTGTTCTTAGTTATGTGATGGCACGTGTATTATCTATGCGTAATTCCCCCATATATCACCATAGTTTTTTAACTTCATACATATTTACTAAATACGGAGTAATTTTTTTAACAACATTTTGGCATGAAATATTTAGTTATGTGATGGCACGTGTATTTTCTATCGCTTATTTTTTTCCTAAATTGATGTGATGAAAATAAAGTTGCCAAGAGGTGGAGATAGTTTTTTCCCCTTGGCCTTTTCCAACAAGTTAAAATGTAAAAAAGTATTTTACACATAAGGCACATTCTCTTCACGTACCTTATTTTGTTAAACTGCAAATTAATAATTTACTGAATTCAAATCAATTTTATTGAACTAGAATCAGTTTTTCTGATTAAAACTTATTTTTACTAATTATCTTTTATCTTTGCTCTTTAAAGTTATTGACTTATACTGATTAACATTTATTTTACTGGCTTTTATTGATTAAAAAGTTGTTTGATTGAATTAAAATTATTTTTACTTAACACATTTTTACTAAATTGAAACTATTTAAGGTGAAGAGAACATAGCTTTATATGGAGTAATACAGAATTCTAAGATTAACTTCAAAGAGGTTTTGCATTCTTGTACTCTGTAATTTAAACAACAGTTTTGATTTATGAGGACATTAGGATTCACTATAAAACATTAATTTACTTTTAGTCATTATACTATATGTTTTTGTTTGTTTTTTTTTTGACAGGAAATTATACTACTATATGTTTAAATAACTATAGTGACACGAAAAGGAGGTGCATGAGGGAAAGGGGTGGCGAGGGGAGGGAGGGATTTGGTTTATTAATAAAAGCCCGGAAAGGAAAATGGATCTCCCCTTTCCTTCTTTTATTTAATATCAAAATAAAGGAAGATGCATCCCTCTTTTTATCCTCTCTTTCTTTACATCCATTTCCCTCTAGCCAAACATATTGTAAATTAGAAGTAGTAAGATAATGAGTCGAATTTATTGCTCTACTTTATTGCTTTCATACACCATATTTTTGCTTTCATACACCTTGACTTTCCATTTTTATTTTTTTAGTGTGATAGTCATTCAAATTAAAAAAAAAAAAAAAAATTATATGTAATTAACCACATGGTGTAGTATAATTGTTATAAGCAACTAGTTAAGTAATAAAGGTTACACCAGTAATCAAATTGAGTTACCTTGACAAAAAGGATACTACTATGAAAACATGAAATTACTCTTATAAACAAGTGGAGTTATTTTTTTAATAGTCAAATAAAAGTAAAAAAGTTACATGAATGAACAAGTAAGGTTACTTAATTTTTTAAATTGTCTAATGTTACTCGTATAATAAATAAGGGTCACTTTATGGACAAATTAAGGGTATATGCACGTGAATATATGACATTTCTCATTTTAAGGACCGATGATTATCCTCCAAAACAAATGTTATGACTAGCCATAAACAAGACATAATGCAAAAAAAATTTAAAAAAACATAGAAAAGTGAGACGCTTTCCTTCATCGACTCACAAGTATAAAAGGTAGCTCTAAGTTATGAATTTTCACTAGATTTTATTGTTTTTTAAGAATTTTGCATTTATAATCCTGTGAAATTTAGAAACGGTTATCCATTTATTGTGAAATCTAGGAATGACTATCTCAATAATATAACTATCTCCTCTAAATGATAGAGTACTCTGTGTCTCCGTAATAGGTAAATAATTTGATAATAAATCCAAGGTGTTCTTCTTTTTAACCAAATATAATGTATACGAGTAGTTTCATAATTCGAATATTACGTGGATTGAACACATATCAGATAGTTTGTAACATCTATTATCCACAGCTACACTCTAAATATAAAAGTTTTATTACATATCGTCGTTAAATATTATTATATTAGTGGCTTATATAAGAATAAATCAATTAGTCGAAGTTGCTCTTGCAAGTCGCGAGATTGAATATGACCAAAAAAGATATGGAGGGGCCGAGTCGGGTGGGATGAAGGTGGTGTTAAGCTTATTGTTGTGCCCTAGAAGAGGATTTATCAAGTAAATTCTAAGGAATAGTGTGCGGACTATACCTTCAAAAAGGGTTGTTTTCTATTTTTCCCTCGTTGATTTTTTATTTTTTTTTAGCTATGATGTATAATTTGCAAACATTTATACCACTAAAAATATTTGTTTACATATTATTTTTCAGTTAATTGTGAACAACTCAATTTGTGGCATAATGCAAAATGAAGTGATCCTTATGGCTACCTATGGTACACATGTTAACCACCTTAGTTAATTGTTAAAAAAACATAGGCAAGTGGAGGAAGCGAAAACAATCACACTAGCTATCTTTGTGGACTCTATGATATCTATCTCTTTAACATGACCCTATTAGGGCCTGTTCTCTTTAGCTTATTTTCAGTTCAGTTCACTTCAGCTCCAATCTGTTTAGTTCAGTTCAGTAAATCAGAACAAACCCTTAGTTATTTCTGTACTCCTTTTGTTTTAAAATTGACACATATCTCTCTTTTTGTTGTTTTAAAATAGTTGACACATTACCATATATACCATAAATCGTATATTTTAATAAAATTGTTTACACTACTCATTATGGTCCACTGAATTTTTTTCACCCTCTTAATGTCTCACGTCTCTGTTTTAATAATATAAACCAAAATTCATTTCACATTATCCCATTTATGTAGCAAGAATCTAGATTTAAAATACTTGTTTCACATTAATACAACTTCACATTAAACAACTCGAATATATGGTCCCCACTCCGATCCCCACCTACTTTTTTCTTAAAATACTTGTCAAAAGAAGTGTGACAATAATTATTTTAAAACACAAGGGATGCGAAAAATCTTACTACCATCGTTTTACATTGAACACTTTGACCGTCACACATCTCAACGTATAACTTATAACTTTAACTATTAATACATTTTATAGTCCACATCATTAATTAAAAATTTAAAAAAGTTTGGGAAATTCCCATTGGTACCACTCAGGTTTTGGCTTTTCCCAGCGGTACCACTTTTTTTTTTACTTCCTGGTGGTACACCCCAGTTTATGACTTCTTAACAACCGTGATTAGTCTGTTAATAAATTGTTAATAACTTAGTAATTCTAGGTTAAAAGCTGAGATATATACTGAAAAGACTTATATGCCCCCATTTAAATGCTTTCCCTCCAACTTTCCCCCCTTAAAATGTATGTTATTTCCCACCAAAAACGTTCACCCTATGACTTCCCTATAAATGTGCCACTTCCTCTTCTCTTCTCCATTTTGCTTTCCCTCCATTGCTGCAATTTTTTTCTCTTCTCTTCTCTTCTCTCCACTTCTTGTTCTGTATTTCTCTGACATGGCTAGTTCTGCAGGTGGTTCAACTTTTGGTAGGAGATTTGGAAGATCCATGTGGGTCAAACGCATTCAATGCAACTGCAATCCACCAAGAACTGCAGACATTAGGGTTTCTGAGTCGATTTCGAATCCAGGGAGATCATATTACAAGTGCATGCATTGTGGTTTGTTCGTGTGGGTTTCTGAAGAACAATTGATGGGAAGTCTTGATGACTCATCTAATGTGAGAGTGTTAAGAGAGGAATTTATTGATTTTACTGAAAGAGTGTATGAGTTTGCAAGCTATGTTTACATGGTTGTTAGGATTGGTCTTGTCATGTACCTGATCCTACTCTTTATATCTCTGAAATGAGGTTTGTGTTCTGCAACTTTTAGTTTTTCCATGTAATTGTTAGATTATGAATAGTTAAAGGTTGTATTTTGTGGGTTAATGAATGGAAATTTCGAATAATTGGCATTTATCTTTGTTTATTTCTTATGTACAAGTTCTTTTACTTTCCATTAAGGGGGTGTTTGGTATCAAATTAGTAAATGTAAGGGAATGTAAACAAATTAGAAGAGGAAAGGGTAACATATAGTGTTACCCTTACTAGTTGTTTGGTATTACTAAGGAAACGTAAACAATTGTAACCAATCCCTTTCCTCTTGTTTGGCATAGATAACTTGGAAACAAATAGTTTTCCTTCTAATTTTTTATGTCTTGGCTAACTTTTGATATACATTATACAATGTAGAGCAACACTAATTACCATAATATACATATAGATATTTTTTGAACCGATTACCATAATATATCATATGCTAGATATATAGGCAAAGTCACATAAGTTGTTGATTACAAAAGCATTGAAATTCTAGTATTCTAAAAAAAAAAAAAAAAGCATTTAAAAACCATTAAAACATTAACTCCAATAACAACAATTTAGGACAAAACTTTCTACTTCTTCTTAAGAAGATCAATTGCATATTGTTTCTTCATATTAGTTGGAGCTTGATAGAAGATGTGAAGCTTATGTTCTTCCGCCATGAGAATTGTAGCAACCTCTAAAGTTTCGGATGGAGAAATTCCATCTAACTTCATCACCTCATCCAAAACCTTGTTCACTTTTTCATCCATCATTTGCTCTCTTTCTTCAGCTTTAGACCATGCACTAGCCATAATCCCAAGATTAACATTGATATTTTCAAATATCTTCCCAAAATTGTTAGAAACATCATGGAGGGAGGCCACCAAATCATCATCATCATTCCTACAAAAACTCTTCAAATCTAGCTTGTTCTTTCCTTTTACCTTAGCCTCCTTCGCCTTTGTAGAACGTTTTCTGGATTGAGTAGTGGAATCACTTGCGGAAGAATGAATCGTAGAAGCCTTCACTTTTGCCACTTTTGAAGGAGTTGAATGATCATCCTCTATCTTCATGGGACGTTTTCCGGATTGACTTGTAGAAGAATAAGTGTCTGAATGAGTAGAATTCACATCATCTGATCTTCTTCATCACTCTCGACATTCAATGGTTGCTTATCAATGTCTTGATCCATATCTTCTATAGCATCAACAAACGACTCACTTGCATCTCTGGTAGCTTTGTCTTTAGCATAAATTTCTGCTAGAGTGTCATAATGAACGAATGGAACTCCAAATAACCCCTTAGCTTTCTTATGAGTCTGCCATATAAGAAAAAGAAAAAAATTGTTAACAAAATTTCAATAACCTTCTGACTATAAAATTTAATACTAGAGTCTCAATCAGAGAAAAATTAGAATACTTAATAAAATATTAGACAGAAAATCCAGGCAGATGTACTAGAGTCTCAATCAGAGAAAGATTAGAATACTTAATAAAATATCAGCGTAATATTGGATGAACAGTAGATTCAAATCCAGCAGCCAGAATTTAATACTGTAGAAAGCAACAGAAATGTGAACAACTGCAGTAATGCCTATCAAAATAGCATCAAGAAAGCCTAACAGCAGATAAAGAGCCAATAATAAAATAACAGGAATTATAAGGTAATGCCTATCAAAATTTAATTCAAACTTGTTTCCCAATAAAATCACTCTTTTAAACACTGCACAAAATCTTGGATGAAGAAAACAGAAAGGATGTGGCTGACATTGTAATTAAGGTAGATTATGTGGCTATGTGTCCTAAACTGTGGTTGTGACTAACATATATCCTAACAGGGTTTATAGGAATCACTGACGAAGAATAAAAAAAAATTTAGTGAATTAAAATGGTGAAACAGTATTCAAAAGATGATAGAGCAAGAATTATATTACTAAACAAAGAAACAGATCTCAGTCATTGAAAACTGAAGGAAGGAGCAGCCAAAGAATAAACAAGTTATATTGTATTAAAATACTGCAGTAAGAAAGTATACAAGGCCTCCAACAGGGGAATAACAGCAAGGGGGAGGGGCAGCAGCAAGGGAATAGCAGAAGGGGGGAGGGAAGCAGCATACCTTTACCCATCCGTCGAACACCGACTTATCTACTTGTAGAATCTTCTTCTCAGCATCCCATCCAAATCCTGAGGTGGATAACATTTCCGCCAATGCACTATATTTCTCCGACCAATGCTTGATCCTCGACTCAATGTGGGGAACCGCTCTCAAGCCGCAATTAGGAAGTACACCATTAATCATCTCTTCCAACTTATTCATGTAACCATTCTTAAACCCATTCTCACACTTCCACTTCGGATCGCAACTCAACTCATGCAAATATCTTATAAGAACCGCATCTTCTTCATACGTCCAATACCTTTTATTTTTACCTCTACCTCGATTGCTTGCCTCACCCTTAGCTTGACTAGCCTCCATCTGAAAAATTAAAAACAAAAAATAAAAAACCAAAAATCAATTGAAGCTACTACTGACCTAATGCTGATCTTTCCAAAATAAAGACATCATTTAACAATCACCATTGAAAATGTTAACATACAAAAACATAACACCATAAAAAAAGGTAGTGGTACAGATGCAATAAAGACTGAAAGGATAACAAGAAGACTAGTAGAGGTTATGAGATGTCAAGACTTAAGAGTAAAATTATGGAGATTATGAGATTAATGAGTTTTTTTTTTCAACAATAAATTTAAAAGGTACATAAATTTAATTAGCACCCAAGGATCCATCAATTGTGTCAAAAGAGGCTGGAGTGCCTAAGATGCATCAGTATTAAAGTGCACTCCACCCAATACATTCATAGCAATCGTTCCTTTTCTTGTTCTATACTTTGGTCGTTCTTGTGAAGGCACATTTACATTAATGTAAGTCCCATCTAATGCCCCTAAACAATTCTACAAAAATAGGAAAAAATATTACTTACAAACAAGCAAAAATAAGAAAATCCTAGCAAAATTTAGGGGCTTTGAAAATACCAATACCTTGAAGGATTTCCACCTTTCATCTTTACAATCATCCAATATTGGTGTAGGATTGTAAAAGTAGTACTTCATGCAACTTGAGAAAAGCCCTTAGACAAAGGTGAAATTGTCGGCTCACGGTTTCTCCACTTCTATAGAAGTAATGTCCAATAGACCTATTCTTCTTATGATGAGCCAACGTGTATAAAAACATGGTTACTATCTCTTGAAGCGACATGTTTTTTGTTCCACTCAAACCCCCAATGTCTCTAAGCATCTCACAAATAATATTGAAAGTTTTTCTATTAACGCGAAGCTCACTCTTGCATTTCACATCACTCTCCCTATAAAGCCCTCTCAATACTAACATCCGTAACAATTTTTTGTTTCTTTTCCTATCTTTTATTTGAACCCCCCTTATTGTAACAACGCTAATTATATACCACATCCAATACATCATCAACATAATAATAACCATTGCAATTACTATTTGTATTTGTTTTAGCTTTTTCTTCCTTATAGAACGCATAAGTCGAGGCATTGTACAAGAAACACAGAAAATAAATGGCAATTGACCCTGATAAACGGCAAAACAATAGTTATATCAATCTCTAGTTAATCAAATAAAAAATATTGTCAACCAAATCATGAGGAGTAAACTAGTCAAGAAACAAGCAAAATTAAGCAAAAAACCATGGTCTATATACTAAAAATAGTAGCAGTAACTTTCTCACTGTAATGCATACACATATGGAGCAAAATAAGACATGTATAGCACCAGAAAACCATGGTCTATATACTCAAAATAGTAGCAGCAACTTTCTCATCGTAATGCATACATATGGAGCAAAATAAGACATGTTCAGCACCACCAATAATCTATTACATTCATAACATAGATATAATTACCAAATGAAGAAATTATACAAAACTCCAATGTTTGTTAAATAATTTCAAATGAATTGAAGCTTAAAACAATAACATTCGTAGCTGAAACTTGAAGTAATTATAATAATACAATCAAAAATCAAACAAAAATAACTTTCTGAAGATTGCAATTGAACACGCAAGTTATAAATTCATACCAAAAAACGCAAAAATTGATACTACATGAACCCTAGAAATTGAACGAAAACAACTTTCTGGAGTTGCAATTGAACACGCAAGTAATAAATTCATACCAAAAACGCAAAAATTGATACTACATGAACCCTAGAAATTGAATGAGAGAAATGAAGATAGCAAACCTGTGATAATTTCTGAATATTTACAGAAGAAAATCGAAAATTTAGGAGTAAGATCTGGAGAATTGCAGCTTCCTCGTAGAATCGTCGAAATTTTTTGGGAATTTTCAGAGAATTATCAAGCAAGTGAAGAGGAGAGAGAAGAATTTTCTTTATTTTTTGTGTTAGAGGAAGGAAAGGGGATTTGTTTCCTCACCTATTACAGGGGAAACAATTGGGTGGATTGGGTTACCCCTAACTAACGGTTTGTGTTACTTTAACCAAACACAATGTAACGGAAACGCTAATATGATTCCGTTTCCATCCCTATAAAATCCCTATACCAAACACTCCCTAAATGTAAATAAGGCCAAAAATAAGGACAACTTAAAATAGACAAAATGGCCACAGTTGGCTATATTCATATATATCAGTAAATTTCAGATGTTTGGGAACATTGGTAAAAACACATATGTACCAACTAGACAAGTTAAGTTCAAAAAACCCAAGATAACTTAAACAAAACCAAATGTTTCACTGCCAAAAAAACCAACTGCTAATGTACTGCTCTGTAGCACTTAAAAGCATTGAGAATCTGAGTTTTCTTGGGACAAGTTGACTGGCTGGCTAGGCATTTGTGATGCTGTCAAAACTGTTGCTGCATCAGCAAACTGTTTGCCTTTCTTTCCTTGTGCTTTCTTGGAAGATGTTGCAGGCTTTGTTGCTTGTTGATCAGTGGCTACAGACTTAGTTGCTGCTTTTGCTGCATTTGATTGGTCTCTGACCCTTGGGTTTTTATGACAACAGGCTCAGATGCCTTCAACTCTTTCCCAGTTAAGCCTCCATTGCAGGTTGCTTTATTATGCCCAAAGCATCCACACTTAGAGCATTTGACTGTTTTGCTTCTCTTGCTTGGTTGGACTTCTTCTTCCTCCCTTTTTCTATTCCTACTTGGTCTTCCAATTCCCCTTTTCATCTTAGGTGGCATGATAATTCTGCCAGAGTCATCAGCAGGCCATTGTTCTGTGTCTGGAATAAGGCTAATGCATACACTGTATGCTTGCTTATATGTCTTGACAGAGTACCAGGAGCTAACAAAATCATGTGGGTCTAACTTTGCATCAATTAGGGACCTAATGGCATGCCTACATGGCACCCCTGACAATTGCCATGCATCACAATTGCAAATTTTATTGTTAAGACTCAGAGGGAACTGAGATCTACCTTCATGGATTTCATACTCTCCTGGGCTGGACTTGAAAGCTCTACAATTTGAGCTTGCCTTGCCTATCTTTTTCACCAGTTTCACAATTTTAGGACATATGTCTTCATCTTTCCAGGACTTTGCATTCTCCATCCTTATTGCAATTCTCACCATACACACCCTCCTTATTCATGCACATTAGCACTAAATCAGACATTGCAGGACCTTTTATATTCACAGTATAAAGACAACAAAATAAAGATATGCACAACATACTTTCTAGCAGAGTTAATACAGGCCTACACCTATTAACTCCAAGTGTGGAGTTAAAGCTTTCCACAAAATTAGATGTATTTGTCTCATTGCAGACATTAGGGTTAAATTTATGTTTACTCCACTTGGATTGTTCTCCCAAGTCTGCAAACCAACACATGACATCACCACCTCCCTCTTTCTTGAGCTTCTCCATAGCTTTTCTGAATGAAAAGGCTGAAGTTGCATTGCATGCTCTCCAAAATAGCACATACATCATGGGGCCTGGAAACTTTTTTTTGTAATTCCTACTGAGGTGTCTACAGCAGAATCTTCTATCAGCTTCTGGCCACACATTGTCTAAGGCTAACTCCACTCCCTGAAACAATGATGAACAAGATTAGTATGCTCCAATAAACAATCAAAGGTTACATAACAACTATAAAAACTCAATTCACACTTAAGCACTTGCCTTTTGCCTATCAGATATGATTGTCCAATGCTCCCTTGAGGATTCCTTGACAATTTTCAGCAAATGCCAGAAGAAATAACTCCATGACTCCTTGTCTTCTTGGCTCACTATAGCATAGGCTATGGGAAAGATCTCATTATTGGCATCTATTCCCACAGCAGAAAGCAGAATTCCCCCATAATTACCTTTTAGGTGTGTTCCATCTACACCGATAAAAGGTCTAACTCCTATGAGAAGTCCTTTCCACTGTCCAGAGAAGGAAATGAAGATACTTGTGAACTGCAGCTGCTTAGGCAGGGACTCAGTTTCTTGCCATGCACAAAATGCTAAACTTTCTGGGTTAGTCTCAATGCACATTTTAGCATACATAGGCAACAATGAGTATGACTCATCATGGCCTCCAAAGAGCTGCTCAATTACATAACTCTTTAACCTATACAAAGTAGATTGTCTCGTGTAGATGCCATATCTTTGGAATAGAAGTTCATTTAAATCTTTCCCAGAAATGTCTGGGTTAGCTCTGATTTCTTCCATAACTTTCTGGGAAGCCCACTTAACATTGCATATGGGGTTGTATGTTTCTAAACCTCTGCAAGTGTGTACATTGGGCCAAATCTTCTTAATTGCCCAAGTTCTACCATCTGAAAGCCTACTTGCATGCAACCTCCAGTCACAACACTGAGATTGGCACACTGCTATATACCTCTTGCTGTCAGCATACTCCACATTGATTGCAAATCTCCCTTGTACAGCAAAGTCCTTAAGAGTATCCTTAAAGTGTGCCTTATTAGTGAAAATCATCCATGGCCTTAGTATTATCTTCCCAAAATCAGCATCCTCATACATTTCTCCATTCTTGTAAAGTCTCTTAAAGTAATCCTCATCATCTTCATCATCTAAAAATTCAAACCATTTCCCAGGTTTCCTGTTATCCTTGATTTTAGGAATCCTTTGAAGCTGCACCAATTCATCTGCAGGCACATCACCCTTTGGTGCTACTTCTCCTTCACTGTCTTCTTCTGAATCACTCTGAACAACAAAGTCCATTTTTCTTCTCACCTTTAAACCAGAACTAGGGCCCAACTCCTGACCCTCAGTAACACCCAAACTATTGTCTCCCTCCTGGATGCCATGCATACCGGATGAATCACTCTGAACAACAAAGTCCATCTTTCTTCTCCCCTTGAAACCATAACTAGGGTTCTCAACTTTTGTCTCATTCACACCAACTCTAAGTCCCTCCATCTGAATAGAATCCAAACCAGAACCTACACCAAGCATTATTCTCTCAGTGACAGTACTGCCAACCCTTACCCCCTTCCTATATGTTGTGGTTCTAGGAATTTTTTTTTGCAAAAACAGAGCTATGAGATGAATTAATCAATGGTTCAACACTAGGAGCAGATGTGTCAGTGACTGGAATAGGTGAAAATCTAGGGCACCTTCTCAAATTTAATGTCTTGAACACAGTATTAGGTGACCTAGGAGATGGTGGTTGCATTGGGGTTGATTTGGTGGCAGCACTCTTCTTACTATTTGTATCCTTAGCCTTACCCTCACTAGGTGAAAAAAGGCCTTTGGCAGCGGTTCAAACCCGGTCTAAGGCACCGGTTTGAACCGCTGCCTATGTGAGGGGTGCCAAAAACCAAGCTTTTGGCACAGGTTCAAAACCGGTGCCATAGGGTATCAACAATATACTCATCATTCTCGTATTCCTCGTCCACATGAATCTCATTGCTTCTAACACGCACATCATTCCGATCAAGATCCCCAATGTACTCTCCACTTTCTCCGTGCCAAATCCACACATGGTATAATTGCCTAAATCCACGACATAATACATGATCTCTAATGATTTCAACACTATCGACCACATTCACATTATTACAATCAACACAAGGACAATAAAGGCCTTTGCCTCCTAGTTTGCGTTGATAAGCTAAAGCCCTCTCGCTAAACTCTTGAACCCCATTCCAAAATTCCAATGTATCGCGTCTACCATACATCCAACCACAATCCTTCTCCATTTAGTAAATTGTCTCTAAACATATATAGCACCATATAATTATAATGTGTAAGTGCTACATATTTTATGTAAATCAAATTCAAGTACAAAACGTGAATATACCATTCATATAGTGAAAAAATGCATGTTTCCAAAGGGCCCTTATCACTCCAACCTAACCCATCCTTGAATGTCTACTCTCACTAGTGAATGTATGTCAACTTTCCAATTTTAAGGAAAATCCGGCAGCATTTCCCCCTAGTTCTCCAAGTACACGATGTAGATAATTAATTACCCACATATGTACCCAGAGAACATAGTGAGGAAATGGTAAGCCAAGATGTTCCTTAAAATCGAAAAGAAAACATACATTCACCACCTAAGTGAGAGTACACATTCAAGAACAGTCCCAACCGGGGACTATTCAAGACTTTCTCCTAATGAGAAAGCCTTGAACGGGTATCTAGGCATATGATGATGCAAGTATTCTATATATTGTTGTATTTATTTGCAATTAAACAATACACAAGTTGCAATTTCATGAATCAACTTTTATTAAATGGATAAATAGAAATGAATATAGCTAAGTAAAGTTTATAAGTCATACCAATATAGCAATGCAACTACCCACTTGAGCTCAATATGTATTCCTCAAGCTAATTAAACTCGTGCTTCAATTCACATATGAATCTATATATTAAAAAAACAAAAATTAGCAACGTCACTAATTATCTAATTAATATATTCACAATTCTCTAATGTATTCACAATTCTCTAATTTGTTCACAACTAATTAGGTGGCAATATCACTATTTATTTCTCTAATTTATGCACAATTCTCTAATTTAATCACAATTCTCTAAATTATTCACAAATCTCTAATGTAATCACAATTCTCTAATTTATTCACAATTTTCTAATTTATTCACAACTAATTAGTAGCAAGGTCACTAATTCTTTAATATATTCACAATTACCCATTAAAACAACCTAAAATTACACATTAAAACATACAAAAACTCAACTAATTAAGTAACATTCTTACTAATCTCTATTATATTCATAATTACTCATTAAATCAACCTCAAAATAACCCACTAAAACTTATAAATTTTTCAACTAAGGAACAAGGTAATGCAAAATTACTCTAATCTATAATATGTATTCAAAATTACTCTAAACATACAAAATAACTCTAATGTATAATATGTATTCAAAATTTCTAAATAAACAACCAATGCAAAAATAAAAAAAATTAGGGTAAAATTATATATATACATTCCTTGACTTTAATTTTCTTAACAATAATTGTTCAAAATGCTATTGAAAATAATAGAATTACATATTTCAAAATAATTGTTCAATTTTTAACAAAAAAAATAAAAACTTACCCTAAATTAGTTGGAGGTGGAAGAAGCTAAGGGGATGAGATATTGAGGATGACCTTTGCGTTGGTGGAGGTAGCAGGGGTGGTGCGCACTAGTGGAGGTAGTGCGGAGGTGGAGGCGGTGCGCGTTGGTGGAGGGAACAACGCGGAGGTGGAGGCGGTGCGCTGCTGCTCAATTCGAACAATGCTGGTGGCTGTAGGGCGGTGAAAGACAGAGAAGAGCAGGGAAGGGAAAAGACAAGGGTAGGGGAGAATTAAGGGCGGTGGTTTTTGACAATTCGTACAATGCTGGTGGTGTTTCAACTCGTACAACGGCGGTGTTTCAATTCGACAATTCGTACAAGGGCAGGGGGAGAATTAAGGGCGGTGTTTCAATTCGAACAATGTTGGTGGCTGGAGGCCGGTGGCCGGTGAAGGTGGCGGCTGTGGTGGAGGGAAAAGGGGGAGGTTCGTTGTTCTTCAATTCGTCTCTAATGTCGGGTTAGAAAGGAATGAAAGAGAGTGGGGAAGGAGAAGAAAGAAGTAGGAAGAAGCTAGCTGGTCGCGTTTTTTATTTTTTGAAAAAAAAACCGGTTTGATTGGCACCGGTTCAAACCGGTGCCTATTTTATTTTTGGTACCGGTTTGAGTTTAACCGGTGCCTTTTGCCTTTGTTTAAAAACCCGCCCAATTTTGGGCCGATTTTTGGCACCGGTTTGGCCTGAACCGGTGCCATATGGGGGGTGCCTAATGTTATTTTTCTACTAGTGCCTTAGCCTTAGTCTTCTTTGACTTCTCTATCCTCTCCATAGTCTTCTCAAACTCAACTCTACCCTTGGTATACTCAGCAGCATATTGAGTATCATTTCTTTCATCTTGAGGGGAATCATAGCCCTCATTATACCTAGGTGGAGAGGACTCATTATTTAGGGATATATCTTCAAGGGAAGGCTGATCTGTTTGGGTTGTTTCATTCTGAGTGGGTTGATCTGTTTGTTCTGTATCAATCTGAGGGGGAAGATCATTTGGTGGTGCAGTTTGGGAAGGATCAACAACATGAGGAGGTACAATATGGAAAGGTGCAACAAATTGTTGTGCAGATTTGGATTTGTTCCTTAGCCTATTGGTCATTCTATTCAAGGCACTTGGTTTCTTGCCAAAACCTACCCAAATGTGATACATCTCACACTCACCTAGGGTATGAATCATCTTAAAAATATCAGCATCATCTAGTAAAGGGTGAATCTTTTCATTGTAACCATAACCAAAGGTAGGGTTGATTATAGGGAACTCAGTGTCTACTGCAGCAGTGTCCTCAAAATCCATAACCAAATCCATCAAATTACATCTATCTAAGTCAACAACAAGATCAACATGTTTATCTAAGTAATGAAACCTTAACACCACATCACCCATTCTGCAAAAGAAGGTAAACAATATACACATTTACAACATGCAAATAAATTCCAAATCAGCTATACAACAATCTACAACATGCAAATAAACCCCAATTCAGGTATCCAACAATCAATGAAATATGCAAATAAATTCCAATTCAGGTATCATATAATTAATGAAACAGGATCATGCCAATTCATCCAAATTAAATCCATAATCTACATAAATAATTGAACACACATAATCATGCACCTAATAACATGAAAGAACCCTAAAATCGCACAAATATACAACATTTAAATCATGAATTAAACCTCAAAACGCATAGAAAACAGAACATCAAACAACTGCACCAAATTATGCATTAATGAACATCAGTAGTGCTAAAGTACCTGAATTATGCAAGATTATCCTCTAATGGCTTTGTAGACCAACGAAATTAGCGAATTTCCCTTGCAAAACCCTAGGATTACTTGGTGAATTCAACAGAGAGCAGAGGAGAGAGAGATGAAATTTGAAAGTTGAGTTTGGTTTGTGTCAAATCGACATAAATGGAAGGGGAAGGGGTTTAATTATGGGTGATGGAGGGAAGGATTAAAAGGGGGCATATTAGTCTTTTCCAACTTTAGTAACCTAATCTCAGCTTTTAACCTAGAATTACTAAGTTATTAACGATTTATTAACAGACTAATCACGGTCGTTAAGAAGTCATGAAATTGGGGTGTACCACCAGGAAGTAAAAAAAAAAAGTGGTACCGCTGGGAAAAGTCAAAACCTGAGTGGTACTAATCATGAAAATATGTATTGTTTGTGTTTTAAAAAAAAGTCTATATTGTGATCATTTTTGTAACGTTTACATAATACAAAGTACATTGAAAATATATTTAATGAAATCACCCCTTCCTACTGCATTAAAAAAATAATAAAAATAAAAACCTTAGTCAAAGTAAGACGAATGTGAGAAGTGTTACATTTTATTCAAAGTTATGCACTTTAAAAAAATAATAATAATAAAAAAAATTCTCCATGTTTTAATAAGTGTTACATTTTGACCAAACATGCATGTCGAGACACGACTTTGACTAATAATCTATATTAATACTCCGTATATTATAAGGCGTTTCTAAAATTATATGGATGAAAAGGTTCGAACCCATGACCTCTTTGAAGAAATGTTATTGTTTAACCATTTAGATAAATAGTCAATTATGCTTTAACGTTGCACGCTAAATAATATTATACAATAAAAGTATGAAATATACATACTACATACACACTATTAAATGCTCTTAAAAATTAGCACTTACACAACTATAAGTATGCTGATGCAACGCTCGGGCTACTCACTAGTTTATCTAATTACATGTTAGTAAAAATATAGATAAATTGACATTATGAGAATATTCATTATATCGAAATCAACGATGCATTATACGATATTAACATTTTTTATATATTAATAAATTAATCAAGACAAAACCATTATATGAATAGTGAAAAAGTCAAAGTGTAACAATTATTAAAACACGGAGGGAGTAAGAGTGTGTTTTATTCACCTGCTACATAATTTATCTTGTTTAATCTTATTTGAAGTAATTTAACTTATTATACTCTGTAGCTTATTAAAAACTCCATCCGTCGCACTCTTATAAATTTAAAATAGGTTTTATTCACTTGATGCATAATTTATCTTATTTGAAATTATTTATCTTATTATACTCTATAGCTCATTAAAACTTATTAAACCTGGTTAAATTAGTTAATCATTATTTTTAATTTTTAATTATATTGAAATTTGAAAGCTTAACTCTCATCATAACTTATATTTCCTCCTAGGTCTAGTGTGTACCTTGCCTCGCTGCTCCCCTCCTACACTCCATTGAAGCGCTCTCTAAATTCTCCATTGAAGCGCCTTGCGAGCTTTCTCTCCTCCATTGAAGCAGCTTGCCAGCTTCTGAGGTACTTTTTATTTTGTTAATTATCGAATACCAATTTGACAATTTAGTGTTAATCGTTAATTTAATTGTCAGTATACTCAATTTAGGGTTCTTTTAGCTGGATTATTGATACTCGAAGAACTTGAATTTTTAAACCCTAGTTTGATAGTTGAATCAGCTTTGGTTGCTAATGTGTTGCAGGATTTGGCTTATATTACTCTTTAATGTTAGGAAGAAACCATGAAAATGGACCTTTCTCCTCAATTGAGAAAATGCAATTTGGTGCAGGGAAATTGGTGTATAATGATTCATTAATCTGGAGAAATTAAACCCATTTGGTGGTTGAACTTGGGAAATTAAAGCCCAATGTATTAATGAGGAATTCCCTGATTTGATTAAGAAATTTGTAAGCATCAAATGATGAGAATTGCGGCAAATATCCGATGCTTTACGGTGTTGAAGTCTTGGTTTTCAACTGTTAGATGTAGCTCCGAGGTCTTTGTCAGCAGTAAGATACTTGTAATTACTAGCTAAATTCAGATTGTTAATGTTATATTGTGTTTTGTTTAATTGGTTGTATATTGGCGAAATGATGCAGGGCTATCATTTTACACAAAACATGATGAATTTCGGAACATGTTTTCGCAATTCGGCAAGGTTAAAGAAGGTAGATTGCAGTGGTCACATATTTTCTTCTTTTGGATTGTTGATTGAGTTATTGCTCTACTATATGTGAAAGTTTTAGCCATTGAATTGTGGTTTTCTTAGCTGTGATGATAAATGGGATTCAGTTGTGTTGTTTACAGCTAGGTTGATTATGGATAACAAAACTGGAAGGACTAAGGGGTTTGGTTTTGTTACGTTTGAGACGGAAGATGAGGCGCTTAAAGCTATTAAGGGCTTGAATGGCAGGGTAATTTTCTACTTCATTCTCATTGTTTCACCATTCTACTCGCTCTCAGTTTGTTAGTTTTGTGTTGTGGGGCTACATTTTGAATTTGGGAAAACTTACCTGAAGTTGTGGGTTTGCATTATTTGGGATTGTAAATTTGTAATTCGGGCTTTGCCAAAAATTTCAAATTGTAACAGCTCCATTGAGTATATTTTGGGTTTTGGATAATGATAACTGATAAGCAATTCAAAATTTGTTCACGTTTTTTTTGAAATTTTGTGCTTGTTATATACTTATATTCACATGTCACAAGCCACTTTTTATTCTGGTCTAACATTGGTAATTTGAACGTATTGACAACATGGTATATTGGTATGTTTGAATTTTGTTAGCTTGATGCTTTTGGGAGCATTTTGTACTTTTCCATGGGTGTTTCAAAATGTTGAAACGTAAAAGAGTAAATTTTTGTGCTTCATAGATGAAGATTGAAGTTTTGCACTCATGTTGTGCATCTTTATTAGTGGAAATGAAGTAATTGAAATTCTTATACATTTAGTGCCTAATTGCCTATAACCCTATTTATCAGATTTCGATGTTTTTTCCCCTTACTCTAATGAGGGGTCTACCAAAAAATAATACTTCCTCCTTTTCTTTTTACTTGCAACATTTGACTTATCTATTCACATACTCCTCTTTGACTGGCTTTATTGATTTATAATTAAGGAAAATGTAGTTATATGGGAGCTCATTAAATTCGTTTTGATTATACTTTCATAATATCAAGTGTTTACAACTTCTACTTATTGATAATTAATATAGTTGTGGTTAAATTTTATCGGCAATCGTGAAATTAGAAGTGTTGCAAGTAAAAAAAAAAAAAAAAAAAGAAGAAGAAGTACCTTACTGTTTAAATGGAAGTGGAGGGGATAGCTACAGAAAAGCCTTTAAGTAGGTAATACTCTGGTTTTCACAATTTATGTACAGTGAACATCAGTACATAAGCTATACATGCCATGGTGGGCGGTGGAGGAGTTTTCCTGTATTGTGTTGTTGCATGTACCAAAGGTCTGGGGTTGAGAAGAAAAGGTTGGAAACGGAGAAAATAAGTTATTTACAGAGAGATCTATAGCAAATTATACTCTAGACTTTTCTTGCTATTGGACGACACTTTGTATAAGTGGCTTCTTTGGGACTTTGAGATGGAGACATCTGGAATTGAGCTTTGAGGAGGAGAGTGTTTTCTATTTGGAAGATGGCCTGTTGGAGATTTGAAAAAGTGTTCTTCAATTTCATTTGAGAAAGATAGTGTTTATTTGGAGTTCTCATTATACGTTGAATTTGTCGAAGGTACATGGAAAGACATGGTTTTCATAGGACTGAGGTGTTTGCTTGTTTAACAATTATGTAAAAAATGTAAATTTAAATACAAAGATCAAATTGCTGAAATTGGTGTAAGAAAATATAATGATGTGCTATGTGTGAAGCTTACCTTCCAGGAAGATTGTGGCTATCTATGGTTTCATTACCAATTTCTCATGGAAGCTTTGATGGATACATACTTGCAAATTTTACTTTCAGTAAGTTATGATGCCTAGTTACTTTAGTAGCTATTATCATACATATTTGTGGTTGGTGGTTCAATTTGTAAGGACGTAAGGGAAACCACACCAATCAATGATAGTTTTATTGGCAAAGAATATGTTCGAAAGTTTTTAAGTAACTGCTTGTTCCTGTGATTCTCGTCTTGTTGATTCTCTTGTTTCTTCTTTCCTGGACTGACCAAGAAGCAAAGTTCACTTGGTTGCCTTCTGAGTTGTTACTTTTCTTTCAATGCAGGTAGTTCAAGGACGACTGGTTTTTGTGGAATCTGCCACAAGCACGAAGGCTGATGGAAATGATGCTAAATCCAATAGCTAAAATCTCCACCGCCCACAATAGCTGAAGTCTTATGAACCATCCATTCTATGGTGAAATATGATGGGCATTCCCAATTTCCTGTAAACGAATTGCAACTACATATACCAAATTCAATTTTGAGCTTCTACTGCTTTTTAAGTCAATATGTTGCAATAAACTTGTATAAATTTGTCAAACAACTATATCTTTAAAGCTCATGCACTACTTTGTCAAACAACAGTTTTTGCCTTTCTATAGGGACGAGCTAGTCGAAAAAAGACACAATTCAAGGGGCCTTTACAAATTGTTTCTTGATTATCATGCTTGCAAGCATAAATCGAGTTCCAAAGCTATAGAAGTATGTTGGGCTATGTTAGCAACTCTCCATTCAAAAATTACATGGGGCGGTGTATCTCGAGTAAATCCATCAAGTCTCATGACTTAACGATTAACAACATTTTGGGCATTTACAATAGACAAATGGCTGACACCAATTATAGGTCATGTGTAGGAAAGCATGACCTTAAACAAGTGTACTCTATAACACCAACCATGATGTTAGTTGCGTGCAATAGCACCTGGCCTAAGATTTTATGACAATTGAAGCCAAATAATGTGGTAGGTTTTATAGTCGATGACATTATGACACATTGCAGCTAGGTTGTGTTTTTTTTTTTTTTTTTTTTTTTTTTTTTTTTTTTTTTTTTGTTGCTCTTACCACCTAAGCTATCCTATCCCTCACTCTTTGTTCCTTTCTCATGTTAATAGGGAGGGCAATATTTTAACACATTCAATTGCTAAATTGAAGTTAATCACAAAAGTGAACTAGATTGGCTTGAGGTTTTTACTGACTTTGATCTTGATTTAGCACAAGTCAAGAATCAAGATAGGCTCATTCTTTTACAAAGCTAATAAAATAAAGTCCATTTGCCATTGGCCAACAAAATAATACTCCGTACTACTTTATAAATAAATAAGTAAATAATGTCATAAAATTTCGAGGCATTTCTGATAATTCATAAGTTGCTGTTTAACTTGCCCTCAAAATAAAAATAAGTTGCTGTTTAACTTGGATTACAATTCTCCACCTATATATATCTGTTGATCAGTTCCATGCGTCATTTTTAGCTAATCCATTATTTGATGTTTTTTTTTTTTTTTTACTTTTTCTCGACATACAGTAATCATATTGGCTTCAACTAATTCTACATAACAAATCTTTCTAACTTATATTTCATTACCAAAAGCAAAAGCTCATAGCACTAAAATACAAGGTTCAATAATACTACACCCCCAAACAAAGAGGGACTAATTATACTAGGAGTATATACTCGCTTAAAAACAAGCCTAATTGAGTATCTGCAACCCAAAATTTTACGGTTATAAATGACCAAACAAGAAGAGCTCTAAGGGAGGCAGAAGGGACTGCACATAGTTGGCCTACAAAGCATGAACCATCGGAAGAAATCAAGCCCTCATCTCCTTGCCCTCATGTCAAGCAATGCTGTATTGCTGATAGCTTAGCCAATCACCGAACGTTTCTGAACATTGCAACGGTTGTGTACAGTAAATTCATCCAAGGATACTCCATGTTTAAACCTCGCTGCATCCTATTGTTTATATATACCAAAAAATACGAGGTCAACCATATCAATCGACCATAAAGAATGAAGAAGTTCCCCCACTATACCACCGTATAATTGGAGAAAAGAGTAATCAACTTTTCTAATGTCTCAGGATAAAATTTCCGAGCAAATAGATAGCAAGGCCGCTTCTGTCCATTCCACAAGCATGGTGTTATTGTCACTGGATTCTGTAACACAAAAACTTTATTTACCAAGTGGTTCAAGTCTACAATACATTGTCAGCCAAAAACTACCATGCATGTTCAACTCTTCTCTCAAGAATTTAGTGGTAGAGTAAAAATAATTTATACCTTCTCATCACTTGTCAGATGCACACTCTGATCAAGAAACTGCGTCATGCCAAAAAAACAGTTAGCAAACTACTCATTATCAATGACTGCAAAAGCAAAAGTCAAACGGTACGGAAATCATACTGTCATATTTCTTAGAAGCTCATATGTGATGTCTTCGGCTCTATAGGACCTGGGATGCCACTTTCTCTCAGACCAATCAACATATGTCACTGACCAATTAGCTATTCCTCCAGGATCAGTCATCTGAACATATATAAAAACAAAAATTCAGGAACATACAGAACAAGGTAATCTACAAGACGGAAAATTTATGAATAGACTACTGACATGGAAGAAAGTTGGCAAATAGTGCTCATCAGCATAGCAGTTCTTCCCGTGCTCCATTCCTGGCTGTGGAAGTAAAAAAAAAAAACCTACTTCAACATAAAAATCTTCATAGGTTCCAAAATGTTAACAGTCTAGCAGCAGAGAAACACTAAATAACTTCACTAGTTATGACACTATGTCATATCCAAAGTCGAAGCACCAAATAATTGGCATAAAGGTGAATTCAAAAAAGACAATAACTTCATTCTTCAGTAACAATCATATTTATTGCACAAAAGATGAACGGATTCCAGGAGAGGATCGGTCAATCGGACGACTCAAAGTTCAATCCACTTCAGGTTCACTTTCCCAGCTTTGCTCGATCCCACCAGTATGCGCAAGCTTTGGAAATACTGGAACCTCACATAGTAAAGGATTTTGTACTTGAAACAACTTAGAGTTAGCTAGCATGTCACTCAAGAGTAAACTTAATTTCACAGGGCAATACACAACCTTGTTACAATTCTGAATGGAGAGTGAGTAAAAAAACAAACAACCCTGTTGCTCGGACTCAGGTATTGTGAGCAGAACCTGGTACAAGTCTTAAGTGTCACAGTTTAATTAAAAAGAGGTGTCAAACGATCATAGTCATCATACCCAAGTCCAAGGGTTAAGGAGGGTACTTGAGGTAAAATAAAAAGTCCTAGAAACACAGGCCCAACCTTTTCAAAGAGTTGGTTACCGTTGACCCTTATTCCAAGATGCTACACAGTTGGCTGTAACTTCAAATGAAGTGCAGGCAGGATAAGGTTATGTACATCAGAAGAAAACTATGTAACCTTCAAGCCAAATGCATATGAAGGGATGCAATAGCAATTCAAAGAACAATACTCTAAAGAATAGAAATCATCATTGCAAGACATTGTCCCCATAAGAAAGCAGGAATCTTACATAGAATCAAAACAAAAACAATATATTGTAAAGTTTACCCTGCAATATAGCTTGAATTTTCTGTAGTATAGGCTGTCAGCCATAACAATCAGGGCATGCTGGCGTTTCATGGTGAACCACTGAAAAAGAAATTTAAAAACTAAAAGTTAAAATTTATCTCTCAATCACAGGGAACAATAACATTTCAGACTATTAAAAGTTGCAAACAAGAGAAGCATGAAGACATGGATCTACAGTTACAAACGGATTTCTCTCTCTCTCTCTCTCTCTCTCTCCTTCACACACACACACACAATGACCAGAAGATTCAGATATAAGGTGCAAACGGAGAGACCGGGAGAACCGTAAATAAAGGATAGAGATGCTCAAAAAAGTACTAAGCCTAAAGTTTCCTGTTGATGGATTGGTCCAAAACAGGGAAAAAAACTAGTTTGTCTTCGAGTATTGAGTGACTTCTACTCAAAAAGCATTCCCTAAATACATCAACTCACGGAAAACCTTCTCAAATCTCATTTTTTTTTTTTTTAAAAAGGGTCTGAAATCAAGGATAATTAAACTTTCCCTAATCAGGAAAAGTGAAGTTGGCAGAAGCCGCAACATGAAATTGACAAGACAAGGAGGCCTGAATACAAGTTTTCTACAACAAAATTTATCACCTTGAAGACTACAACTTTTCTTTTCTAATTTCTATATTCTAACATGCATGACTTTACCAGCACCCTCAAGATAGGCAATGGTTGACTATGATTATAGAACAGAATATATGCTTCTTTAGAGGACCTATACAGCACATAAAACCAGAAGGAAAGCTCAGAAATACACAAAAGGTCCAAATTAGTTTTCCTATCAGGATAATTTCAAATTTCAGTATTTTACACACTAATTTAATGCAAGTGCATAGTGCAGCAAACAAAGAAATAAATAACCTTCCAAAAGAATTGCTAATGGGATAATTTGAAATGGAAACTAAATTCTCTTCAGCGAGTTTACACATTGAGTTACAAATGAGAACTTTGGTTAAAGAACCACAAAAATAAGAATCCTTAGTATTAACCATACTTTAAACAAGGGGATAAATGATACAAATGAGAGAGAAAAATACACACAGAAATCCTTCAATCTTTTTACTATTTTTGGTTAGAAAAGACATATAAGTTATCACACATTCAAACTCAATCTGACTAAATTCTGACAAGCATGGTGGCATAATTCTTAACAAAGGGAGATCAACTGTGAAACATATGGCAGCCCAATAGTCACATAAGCTAGATTTGCGTTAATTAATACCTGTGATCCCTTCCGAAAGTCATCCTTTTCAATCTCGGGCAACATGTGCTCAGAATATCTTCCAGTACCATGTGGCCCTAGATCAAGAAAACTGAAAAGAGAAAATCAGGGCTGATTAGCTTTGTCTCAACAAAATAAGTGTACAAAAATATCAGAAAAAGAAGTGTGAAATCAAGATCAATAAACATATATTGATGTTCATTTTCAAGGCCGTATACAGACATTGGATTCATCAAGCAAACTTGAAAAAAAAATAAAAAAAAAACAATAAAATACGTTTGCGTGATTAGACAAACAAGCAGTAGCAGCTCTAAACAATACAATTGTAGTACAGAAATATGAAATGTTCTAGTGACAAACAATGATAAATGAAAAGCAGATATGTTAGATTCAATTGATTTTAATGCTGAACTTTGGAAATAACACTCATTATTCAACACCTATGTTACTCAAACTCTTCACTTAACCTCAATTACCCATGAGTTGGATGCATGACACTTCATTCAATTTAACCATGTTCAGACTTCAAAGGATGGAAAAGTTGACACCTAAACATGTAGCTGCCATAAACTAGCAGCCAGGTCTGAGTTTCATAGCTATTAATGGAAATACAACATCCAATTCCCATGATTATACAAGAATCTAGAAACCATGTGGTGTTTGAGAACAATTAAGGCACTAAGTCACTATATTATCGTTGCAGAATTAGCTTCTTACCAGTCAAGAAAGCTGACATTTGTGAACATGAGATAGTTGTAGATATAATCAAAATTATGAAGCGGTATACAGCTGCAAAGACCAAAAAAAATACAATGTTATCACGATTGGCATTTGATATTGAGCTTATCTTCCAAAGTCCAAACAAAAGTACCTACCTGTCTGATAGTAATACAAAGTGCTGGTTATCAGGATCTTTAAGAGCATGAGCAAGTAGTCTCCTTTCTGCATCAACCATTGAGATTTTACCCCAGACTACCTGTGAAAATTTTGACAGAGGTATATATCAAAATATTATTTAATTACCAAACGATGCCACATTACATGCAAAATAAAAAAAATAAAAAAAAAAAATAAAGTTGAAAACCTGCAATATGAATCGTGGTATAAGTGGGTATGGGAACACGATTTGCTACCTAGTAGGCTAGTATGTTATATTAGTACCAATTCACATTTCTCGGATCACAGTTCACATGGAGGATTTGTGAATTAATCATAGGTACAGGTCTTCAAGAGAGTTAGCATTAGAAAGCAGCCAATTAAATTTTACTAACACTATACATTGAATAGTCACAAAAAATACAGACAACAAATAATAGCTGAAATATTGGACATGCAACTTATGCTGGAAACACAATAAAAGAATATTATAATACTGGTAGAACATTATAAATAAGCTTCCTTAACACACAGAATGACAAAGAATAGTCCAAGAGCTTTTTCTTTCATTTCCTTGTCCAAACAACTATTAATGTTTTAGAGTAACTCTAGCAGAAATTTCAAAACAAATACCACTTCAAGATTTATTCTTATGCTGCAACAGAAGAATATTAATTTGATAATAGTCCGTTGGCTGCTATTAACAGCCAAATAAATAATACGACCATGATTTTCTTTTTCCCCATACACATGCTTCTTTGTCTTTAAAAGTAATCATGTTACAGTGTTCACTGATAATACAAGAAAATCTATGAGGTAAGACTCAGCAATTAACAGCAAAGTAACAAATTTACCGAGTCACTGCGTATGTCACGACCAAGAAAGTAACGGCTAACATGCACTGGTTTTTCTCTTGATGCATGTACAAAAACAGAAAATCTGCCTTCATGACCCTGAGGACCAAAAAAAACATGTTACTTCCTCTATTTCTTTTATTACGCTTGCCAATGCAAAACTTTAACGATCAATAATTTAAATTCTCCATAAGTAAAAATTATAAAAGTTATATATTATGATAGTACTTATTGAGACGAATCCAAAAAGATCATACATGAATATATTTTTTCTTACATATTATTCACAAAAGATGGTCAAAGGAGGGATGGTGAATAGTATAAAAGTCAAAGCAGGTCAAGTAATAAAGAACGGAGGAAGTATATCATTTATGTGATGATTAGAGTAAAGACAGGTCAGTGAGTCCGAAATTATACAAATGCCAGTCTTTTTAGTATCTAAAATCAATATGACAAAAGTGAAGGACAATAAAGTGTTAAATCTAGAGCAAACTCTGTAAGCCCAACTCTGTAAGCCCATGTATTGGTAGAATTCAAAATTCAACTCCAAAAACCATAGTAACCCTAATGTGCTAGAGTAAAATTAGGATAGCTGGCAAGGCTATGGTATTTGGACATTCCCAATAGGCTTTTTTCTGAAATTTCATGCCAATCTGTAGACATGTTTTATTATATGACCACATAAGAGAACCAAATTCCGAATAAGCAATCATAGAAAATATAAAAACTACAACGTAAAACATACTAGCGAATAATACTTTGATTTGAAAGCAATATGATAACTCAATCCAAAAGCATTGAATTCCTCAAATCCAAATTCGAGCTGTTCAAGCCTTTTGGAGCAAGTAGACGAGTTCAATCATGGTTTACTCATATCAGTGACAGAAGAGTTTCAGTCCCAAACTCCCAATCATCTCACATACAAGTCTTCCTAACTAAGACACTTGTACATTGCTGGTCCAATGAACATGAGTGTAAAGGGTGTTTGATGTGTGGTATTTATGAAATATGTCCCCAAGAAGGAAAGCAAACATAAAGCATAAAGCCTAAATACCAGGAGGAAAAAGTAACAGTTTTAGCAATCACCCAAACCCAAAATGATTGTGAATTTAGAGGACATTACATATGTGGCATCTATGCTCCCAGCGCTCTTCCGTTTACTTTACTCTTTCAATCACTCCTTAATACATATTGGCCAGAATACCTGAAAATTATTATGTGCACCGTACAAGCACAATTACAAATTCCAGTGTACTATGTCTCAGGCTCTTACGTCTTCACCCCATATCTTCTACAACAGAAATGTCCTAAATAATTGATCTCCAAAAGTCAATTAACCCCTCCAAGCCTCCAAAATACAAGTCAAAGAATGAGGGAATCAAAATCTTCGCCTACCTTTCAGCCCTTGGGAAGATAACATCTCCGTACAGGTGAACAGAGAGATATACAATACTTACTCTGTTCACTTATAGTTGCACCGTCTCTCTTCTGAGGGTCAAACTTCAATTTTATATTATTTTAACCGTAAATTCTCACTTAAATAGTCACGTGATATCTTTTTAGCTTCATCTTAATGTATATTTTCACATGTAAGTCCACCCACGGAATCAATATAACGAATATTAAATTTTTATAATTCTTACTAATGTACAATTAAAGATATTTATGGTCAAACAGTTGCATTGGAGACCATGATGATTCATCCATTGGTAAATGGATGAAGCACAAGGTTAGATTAGAAACATCAACTCCTCATATGAGTAAGAAAATAAAGACAATGTAAACAAAAATGCTTCAATGCAGTGTCAAGACACACAGCCCAGAAAAGACATCTCATTCAGATGAAGGCCAAGAGAAAAGACATAAACCAAATAATGACAGAAAACTAATGAAGGAAAAAAGGGATATCAGCAGTTACCTGGAAGAACTTATCCCAGAGTCTTTCAAAAGGTAGGGTACCTGGGGTCAGAAACATAAAGGCAATTTTTGGGTTTTTAGATTCAACATGAGGTGTTTTTAAGACTTCTCTAACTACAACACGGCTATAAATTTCATCATCGGTCAGCTCTCTAGTAGGAGTGGATTCTTCTTCAGCATAAATTAGACAGCCACTAGAGGAAAAGAAACTGCAGGGGGCAGAATTTCGGAGCGGATAGACATAGGCAGCAATGAGAAAAAGACACACCATAGAGACCAGTATTATAATCCATACTGGCCTCTTCATATGTGGCCGCTGACGCGACCCAGGCATAGTCACCAGGTCTCTTACACGTAACTGCCATGCACGAGATGTTTTCATTTAGAAACCTGGCATTATCTCGGAATTCCACATCATTCACAATTCAAATCCCACATAACAATAGTCTTGATTGGCTAAAATGGTATCCTAACCAGATTGCCCTGCATTGAAAGACATAATTCACAAATTAAGACAAGTAATCACTTGGTTTCCAAGAATAAAATTAAAAGCAGTCTTTTCTATTGATGTATTCACTTCCATGCCATACTAAACATTCAAAAATGTAAAAAAGCTTCTAATTGGTGGGCATAGAGCTTTTTTTATCACTTATCAGGTGGCCGACCAGAAATTTCACACCGGCTCAAAATCCTTTAAGCACTCAAGGCAACAATGCCTAAATATGAAATTTATTGACAATTAAGTAACAAACTACACATATATCTTGATATTTGTTGTAGACCACAAAACTCAGGGCAAAAAAAAGTTATTTAACTAAAAACAGCCTCCCATTAATCATAGACCACCAGAAATAATTCCCTACAAAACTTACCAAATTTTCATCTCAATTTCATCTAAATAACCCCAGTGGCTATAATTAAATAATTATGTTCTGTAACGCCTTTTACGGAATGAAACAGTGAATCAAGCAAGGCTCAAAATAAGAACCATTACAGAAATCAACAAACCCAGTTTTCTAATTGCATTTTTCCAAATAACCAATGCAAATACATCTACATCCCAATTGCTAAAATACTCAATTTAATTATACACGCAGAATGAGATGACAATCCAAGGGCTTCAGACTACCAAAATCCAAAAGCTCATAATACACCAAGTAAATTACAACTGACAAATCCAATAATTACAACCAAAGATGAGTTTATTTCAAGATACACACTAATTTGAACAAAAATGACGCAAGAGAATAATATCCAGTAATTTAGGTTTTGTGTCACATCAATTTATACAATACCATCATAAAATATAATATAATCAAGTCAAGAAAAATTCAAATTAATTCCAAACCAAACGTCAAAAAGTGCTAATTTTTAAACTGAAACAATCAACCACCAAATTAAAATAATCAACACAAACTCAAAATTCAATCCAAAAACAATCAAATTCACACAAATTTCACATACATATTACAGCATTACTATACATTCCCCAAATTTTTACAAAATCAACGTAATTTCTCATCAATCATTTTCGAAAAACAACAAAACACAAAACCTAATTTTTTTTAGTACAATCAATTATCAAACAAATCAACAAAATCAAAATTCGACGAAAATAAATTCGATAAAAAAAAAATCAAGAATAAATGTACTACCTGATTAAGTGCAGATTAGCTGAAGAATAAAATGCAAGAATCAATCCAAAAAGAGGAGAGAGAAAATTGGTTCTCGTACGATCTACGAAATCGAAGACGATGAATCGATGATGATGAGAAAAAAAGGAAGAGCGATAACACTGATCTAATGATAAAAATGACGAATTTATATGTTCGTATAATAGTAAGTTTTAATTCATATATTATGTCTTAATTATTTGTATTTCTATTTTTATTTTTATACAATATATTATACTGATACCCTAATTAATACTGTATTAATAATATTCTGTTTTTGGAAGTTGTATATTTTAAGGTTTGATTTTGTGATTATTTTATAAAAATGGTTTTGTTTTTTGATTGGGTAGTCCAAGAAAAAACTTGAGTAAAATAAGGAAGGAATTTATATAATAATGTTTTTTTGGAAAGTTTATAAAGTATTGTAAAGTTTGAACAAGTGGACTGTTGGGAAGATAATGTGCATTTTTTTATTTTATTTTTTGGTGTTGTTTAAAAAAAGGGTTTAATGGTCTAAACTCTATTTATGTTGTATTAGACTTTTAAAATGTCACTTTATTGCAGTATTAGACTTTTCGACTGTAGTTATGGGATGCTAATTTTTTTTCATGGTGTTCAGACGTGTTTGTTTACCTACACAAACCTATGTGAATTGAACTTATTACATCTAATCTAATTGAATTTATTCACTCGTTAATTTGTTATTGTGTTTTAATTTTACGCCCAATTGAATTCGATCAATCATTCAATCGTAATTTGATCTCATTAGCCTTAAAATTTACTCGTATTTTGTATGCGGACAAGAATGCGTCATTCATCATATCCATAGTATCTTGCAAAAAAAAAAAAAAAACAATTTAGAGGATGGTGATTAAAATATTTCTTAAAATTAAAAGGTCACGTATTTTTCTTAATTTTTTTTTTCATGAAGCATTTTCAAGTAAACTACTCTTACAAATACTTATCATAATTTTCTTTTTTAAAAATTTACTCCGTAATTATTCAAACTCCACATTTTTTTATGTTTACATTTAAGTAATCAAGTTCCAATATCTTCTTTCAAAAAAAAAAATAATAATAAAAAAAAACAAGTTCCAATATCTATTTTCTTAAAAATAAAATAAAATAAAAAATAAAAGTTCCAATATCTATGTTACAAAATACTTCTTCCTTGTCTCCGGAAAAACGACCATTTTGGGTTGATTTCGCGGGTATTAATAAAGTTAAATAAAAATAAGTAAAAATATATTGAAAAAATAAATTTATATTAGGTTTACAAAAAAGTAGAGAGAAATAGTAATAAAAGTATATGGAAAAACAAAATTTTATATAGAGAAGCTAATTTTGTACAAATATTGTTGTAAATTGGTGGGTATTTTAATGCTAATGGGTCATTCTTTTTGGGACTAAAATTAGGCCAAATGAATCGTTCTTTCAGGGACAAAGGGAGTACTCCCTCTGTGGCTTCGTCCTTTAATTTTATATGTCATTTTTACTTTATTTATTACTCACATAATAGAGAAAATAGACATATAATTAAGGGACGAAGGGAGTATATACGGAGTACTATCTAAAAATGAGTGTAATATAATAAATGAGACTTTTATATGAGAGTGGAAGAAGTATCATTATTCAAGGAAATAATTGTGGCATCATAGAATTGCTAGAAGTTCAATTAAAATTGTTAATGGTTAAGACATAAAAAAAGCAACAAAGGGAAAAAAGGATGATAATAATGAGTGATTGAAATAACGTAAATTGAAGGATAAGAAAAGGCAGTATGGTTTGGTGAAGATGCAGATGCACAAAGTGTAGGAAATAAATCTTGTAAATTATAAAATCAAAGTAATATAACTTGTTAAATTAATTAGTGAATAGAGAAATATACAAGGGATGAAGCTAGAAGATGATTGTGGTAGCATAAATTTATTTATATTTCTTTTTTTACAATGATATAAAACTACCGATATCAATTAGCTTATTTGATTAAATATTTGGATTTGGTACAGGTACTTGATATACGAAGTATTAAATAAGATTTCTTTTACTACCTCCATTTTTTATTATGTGCAACAAAATGTATTATTTGTGAAACACAAAATATTCCTTTGTTGCACGTAATAAGAATTGGGGTTGTATATTAAATTATTGTCATTTGCGACTCTATTTACAAAAATTAGAAAGAAAAAAGCCTTACCGGTTTGATTTGGCCACCTTGTATTCCTAAACCAATGTGTTTTATACTTTTGTTTAATACGAGTATTACCTAATAGCCAATGCATGGTTCATGCAGGCGGATGCACGATCCGCATGGTGCATCCCTTTAAGAAAAAAGCGGAAAGAACACTGTATAGAAATGTAAAGGACATTTAGTTAAAGTGAAAAAAAACCTATTATAGAATTGTAAAGAACATTGTATAGAAATGTAAAGAACATTCAATACTAAAAAGAACATGTTATAGAAGGTTAAATAATGTTCTTTATTTTCATGTTCTTTGATTGTCAGTATAATGTATTTTTATTTGTGACAATTGTTTATTTTGAAATGTTCTTTGAATTTTGTCTTTAGATTGGTGGTTGAATAAAAATAATGTTCATTACATTAAATTATCATTATAGGTGATCAAAAAATCGGGTTGGGTCGAGCCTTAACAAATATCTCATGCCCAAACCCGAAAAATATAGCGGGTTTTTTTCGGGTCAGGTTTGGATTTTTAACTAAAAATGCATTTTTAGGCTTGACAAAACCCGCCTTATTTTCGAGTCGGATCGGGTCGGGCTGAAGTTGACCACCTTTCATAATCATGTTCTTTATTAATATTACGGATTTTCTTTAAATATATACAAGGAACATAAAGTTTGATGTTTTTTCTACAAAAATAGCTATATGTTATTTACAAAACAACTATATGTTCATTACAATACAACTATATGAGATGTTCTATACAAAACAGCTAGATGTTCTTTATAAAATAACCGTATGTTCTTTATTAAACAACTAAATATTTAATCCGCCTTTTTAAAAAGAAAAAGATGCACGGAGCATTGTGCATCCGCCTCCATGGAAAAAACTTCATCTAATAATAAAGAATATTATGAGTTAACACTTTTATTTCATTTTTTAAAACTTCTTTATGGTAGATAAGGAGAAATTTTTAATGAATTGAAACTTCACATAAGTCAACCCGATATGAGTTATAAGGGGTTTGATATTATGGAGTATGACCATAATGTAAAGATGGTTATTAAGCATCCCTCGTTTTGAACTTACGCGTTTTTGGGTTAGTTAGGTGGCTCATGAGCTACATGTCGTGCCAATATTTCATAAAATAGTTGATCCATACATGGCCCAAATTCATGTGTCAGGCTTGATTGCTCAAGCCAAAGTTCACTATTGGAAATTATTATCCAAAAGATGGCACCTGATGAAATACATAAGAAGGCAAGAAGCTACTACGGAGTAATATTTAGGCTCCATATAAAAGTGGAAAGAAGAATGAACACAAATTCGGAGTATATATATTCTAATTTTATGGGCTTTGGGAGCTCAGCTAAATAAAATCAACCTCAATGCCAAAAATAACAAGTAAAAATGTTACTCTCATGCACTCTCCAACTCTCCAAGTGATCAAATATTCACAAAAACAGAAACCATACATATTTACTTCGTATTACATTACTGTAAAGAGAGGCCTTTTGATATTCTACCATCATCTAATAAGGAGCAGTTGTATTGTTACATGCAGTAGACACTGGAAAGATTTGCTTACACCAAACACCGGCTAAATCCGTTTACAATCCAAATCATGGCAATTGATACCATATACAACATTCGACCAAAAATAACCAAATTAGACCCTAACAATGAACATGTTTCGGCCATAGCCATTTCAACCTGTTACTTAATTAACCAAATGTATTTTGAAGTAACTTGATTATAATCCGACCCAACACAAAAAGTTCAGTTTTACCAATGACAACTTGAAAAGGCTGAAAAGCTTAAAATTATCATTATCACACATTCTAGAGAAATTCAAATGACTTATACATTAATAGAGTAGTTCGTATTAGATTACTACCAATAATGCATATAAACATGGCAGAGCAAGCTTAGTTATCTACTAGGCTAAGATTATTAGAGACAAACTAGAGAACAAGCTCATTTACAAATCACAGATAAATGAACTAAGATTAAAAGAGATAAACCATACAACATGTAGCATATTCAAGTTATTAACAAATTGAGGATTGGAATTTTATCAAACTAATGTCAGATTGAAACATTCTTCATGATTCCAAGCATGTTCTGCAGGAAAATTAGGCAAAACTATCCACCTTTTCCTGAAGGATCAAACAGGTTCAAAAGCATATTACCAGATTTACATAAATACTAATAGCACTGTTAGTCAAGAACAGGTTCAAAAGCATATTACCAGATTTTACAAGATAGCTACTGATATACTGAACGAAAGACTGGTTAGTATCAGCAGAGTTTGGTGTCAAAACGAAGCGAAATACCCATGCTGAAGAGCTCTTGACACAACAACTTAGCCCCATATGGCACATTCACCTTCACGATTTCTTCACCAGATTCACAGAACCTGCAGTAAGGCCCTCTGATCTTTTTGCCACCAGGGACTGTCCTTAGGATCACATTAGCAATGTTCTGGCATTTCCTGCAAACATGCATCTGGGACGCGTCACTTAGAGTGAAAAGGCGCTCATGCAGGTTGGCTGAAGCACCATGGGCGATCAGACATTCCCGTTCCATCTCCCCAAACCTGATTCCCCCAAACCGTTTCTTGTCTAGCACTGGCTGCCGGGTCAGTGGAAGTACGGGACCTGTATTTCGAAACTTATATCTGTCCTCAGACATATGGTCCAGACGCTGATAGAAAGTGGGCCCCATGAATAAGAGGGTACGGATCATCTCTCCTGTTCTTCCATTATAGACCCTTTCATTCCCCCATCTTGAGAATCCAGCCCTGCAATCATTGTGACAGAAGAATTTAATCAAGCATTTCCGTTCTTCATTTAATCAAAATTTATATACTACCTTTGTTTCATACAATTTGCAACGATTTGACATAAAAAGTGAGTAGAAAATATCTAATTGTTGCAAATAATATGAAATAGAGGTAGTATATAAGTATATAACATCACAATAACAATAACTAATTTATCATCTTCACATAATTTAAGTCTTATTTGTCAAGGGAGGGGAGTTAATTTTCAAGCAAAAATACAGTAATGCAGAC